CACGTGATGGTTGCAGGCGCTGAAAATGACAAAGGCCGAAAACTCGCAGAAAACGGTACTTTGCGATGGTTGTTGAGACTCCTCTGAACAGTGTAACAAGATTAGCCCTACGTGTGTAACATATATAAATTTGGTTATTCAGAATTGCTTCACAGTTGAGTTTGTGTTGTTTTCTCGAATTTTCACCGGCTCTTCAATCGGTGTTCCACAGCAACTCACAGCTGAGCCCATAGAAATACATGGTACAGTGGTGTGAGCTTAGCAATGCAGAACATCTTGATATATATCTCCGCTCCCAAAGATAAATCTCAAAATGAATTAGTAGAAATGGTTGCTATTTGTTGTTTCTGTTTCCCAATTATCACATTTACTGACAATCTGAGCATTTGGAAGTTGAACATTAATCTGGGAGTACGCCAGGATGCAACTAGATTTGCATACCGTCGCTTGTTAACTTTTGTGGTGTTTTTTTAAATCACTTAAATTATTAGGGGAGTGTGTAAATGGCGAGAAAGCCCAGGTTACCACGAAATAAACAAGGAACTTGTGACTCTTGTAGACGTCCTCTTGTATGATTGTTGCCAGTCTGGGTTCAGGGTCACAAGTCTCTTGTTTATTTCGTGGTAACCCATCTTTCGTCATTTATACACTCTTGTTTTTTATTTTATGTGAAAAACCACCAAAAATAAACGAGATGCTGTATGCATGTCTAGGATGCAACAACCTGTCACGAACAATTTTTCTATCACATACTCGTTTGCATGGGAATTTCTAGAGATGTGTATCAGTGATCACTGTACAAAAGACCATTTTCCCGTTCACTGCGAGAATCACGCGTTATGTATGAAATCAAACGTAAAAACAGGACAAATAAAGGTCATAGAGTCGTAGTGGCGTCAAACATCGCGTGGGATTCGAAACATATTTTGGGGGGAATTTCCATGCTTAATAATGTGCTGTATACATTTGATGATAGACAATTTCGATTAAGTGAGGGTATTTGAAAGCAATATTCATCTGTTGAAGAATGGCCGGTCGATGTGAGTTACGAAAATAAAGAAATTCGAGTTCAAAATCAAATTGTTTGATTTTTGCGGCAGATGTTCGACGCACGTCTTTCATGCATCTCGCGAGATCTCGTAGTTGAACTGAAAATCCCCTATTTGCATGATTTCAGATGTGATCTACCTTGCGAATCACCTTAGTTGTATACCCTTATACTTCATAAACCCTTGATATCGCCCATTTAATGTAATCATCAGTAGTGTTGAATCTTTTGTATGGAATTGGAGTCAAACAGCAGTACAAATATATCAGCTTGCCATTTGTGTGACCATTATTAATAAATTTGATCTGAAATATTTTTTTTTATTGTTTTAAAGGAATCTCCTGTTTGCCAATGTGACTGTAGCCAGTGAAAATTTAGGTAAGTAGTGTCCTTGTGATCTGAGCTTAAGCTCATGAATTCCAGCATTTTTTTTTTCCGCAAAATTTCGCATTTTCCATAATTTTTAATAATTTTGAACCAAATTAAAATAATTTTACACTGGCTACCAATCTTGATCAATTTTTTTTTTAATTTAGAAAAATTGTGTTGATTTTGTGAAAGATAACCAAATTATTAGTTGATTTTAACGCAGCTCAAATAAAAAGTGTACAAAAATGAAAAAAAATTACTGTAAAATCTGTATTAGAAACCACGGCTTCTATTAAAATGGTACAATGCAACAGCGGGGATGCGGCTTCTATTAGAGCATCTACAAATATGAGAAATGATGAATTTTTGGTTCTCAATTCTTCAAAAAAAATGGATGCGACTTCTATTAGAGATGCGGCTTCTAATACAGATTTTACAGTACTTTATAAGTTTATATTGTACAGGCCTTTGCACGTTCTGCACATGTACATGTGTGCAGTGACTTGTTGGCAAGAAGCAGTCATTCATGCTGCGAACCAGCAACTTAGCTGGCAATGTTGCTATTTTGGTGTTCGAAACAATATGGCGGTGACAGTAGTGATAATATAATCCTACTGTTCATATTGTGGTTGTAATAATTTCACGTTGTATTGTACTTTCAGCCGAACAGCATGATGCAAGTTTCCAACATCATAAAAGGGAGTCTTTGTTCAAACAACGACATTACTCACAGCCGGTAAGTTTAAAAAAAATTATAAATCTAACTACAATTTTCAGTATTATATACTTGACTTTGGAATGATTTCCCAAGTTACATTAAGGAGCATAATGCATATTATTATACATCTGTCACCATAACGCCATAAGTTTCAGCGTGCCGTAATTTTCATCTTACCATATTAAGAAATGTGTATTCCAAATATGGAATGATTACACGTGTAAGCGTTCTCTAATAATAAAAATAAACATGGCTGCCACCAGGGTTTGACCGGACTCCACACAAAGGAGTTCGCTGATACTTTTTGGATTTTGGCATTCCCATGATGTATCCTTGGAAGGAAAAGATGTATAATAATAAGGTTATTACGATGATACCTCGAAGTATGCCCTCAGACAGTACGCCATCGCATCAACCTCTGCTGCGCATCGGTCGATACTTCCACTGTACTGTTTTCGTGCATATATTGAGGTATCTTCATAATAACCTTATATTATCATATACCATATATTTATTAGTAGTACATGTGCTTTTGTAAATGACAGATGTGTGTCTATGGTCAAAATAAGTCATATTTTAATTATCCATATTATAAATGCAATTTTTGGTTTACAGATTTACAGCAAATTTTATAAACGTATAAATGTTTTTTATGGAAATTTATAAAATGAACATATTCAGTCAAATTCAACGAATACACTTTCAATGGTGATCAGTGTTCCCTCTAAGCCTTATTTTTGCTCAATTTTCTCAGATTCAATTGTAGTTTTGCAGTGAAATTTTGTAAAAACATTTCAAGGGGAAAATGGCCAAATTTTCTCAGTATTTTCAAGATTCAAACAAATTAAAGGGAACAGTGATGGTGATAGAAGCCATTTGGTAATGCCCATTACCCATCAGTCTTTGCAGGTTCCTGTCAATCGTTAGCCAATTTACTGCCATACATCCGTTAACATGTGATTGAAGAGATTTAATTCAATCGTCATTTCAATATATAAACATTTATAAAACAAACATTCACGCCTTTATGAAATTTACTGTATTCATGTGTGTGTAGATTTAGATATTTTCCTATTTGATTTACATACAAAATTTCACTACGGTAGTCTCGGGGAAAAGAGCTCTTAAAAAACATTGGAGATCCCCCATCTGTATATAGATGCACGCAGTAAAATACGTTTTCATTTTTACATATTTTTCTTATTTATTGGTGCTACTGCTTCTTGACAGACTCTGAATACATTTATTTTCTAGTTGCCTGGCGGTAGTGATGGAGCATCCACATCAGCATCATCTCCTAAAAGTGCTACAACAACCAGCAATAGTATCCCTGATACTTTCCCGCTGAGTATGCCGGTATCATTTGCGCCGTCGTCAGTCTCTAATGTCACATCAACAGTTGGTAAGCAAACCACAGAATTCACAGCATTGCCAGGATTTGATCTTCTCAGTGAAAGACCAAATGGTGAGTACCTTTATTACAAGTACTGGGCTTCTGCTGGAGGGTAACCATCGGTGGTGAAATGCATTAATTATTATTTAATTAATTACTGTAAATGCATTAATTATTTACTAGTTTTTTAATTTCGCTATTTCCACCAATAAATAAAAGTTGCTGAATTAAGTCCATTTGAACATGTGACATAACAATATTCTCATTATTTTTGTCAGTTTCTTGGTGATTTCAGCAATGATAAATGCCTCATGAATTCCTGTTTTCTTGCAACCATGGCCCATAACTCGTTGTTTTCTCTAGAAAATTTGTGAACTTAAAACACATTGTAATTTCTCAAAGCATCAAAATATTGAAGTTCATGCTAGTGCTATGTCCCAATCTAAAATTTATTCACCATTGGGCAACCAACGAAGTATTTGTGGAAGCCTGTAGAATGATTTAAGATTCGGTGTACGTGTTTGGACGTGTGTGGTGCATTTAATACTTTGATTGGTAGTTTGAGTGAAATTATTTTTTTCAGATGCTTGGTGATTTCAGCAATGATAAATGCCTCATGAATTCCTGTTTTTCTTGCAACCATAGCCCATATCCAGTTGCATCCAGTTCCAACCAGATTCTTGTAAAGAGAAAACTGGCTCTTTTTTTTATTTTAATTAATACCGACCATTCTGTTTCCATATCTTACAGAAGATAGAGAACCGCACTCCTCCACGGAGTCTTCAATCACTACCCATAAAGATACAGATACACACAATATCCAGGTATTTGTCATTCTAATTAATTAATAAATAATCAATAAATCAATACTTCCAAGCGACCTTTGACAAAATAAAATCTGTTCTAATCATCTATAGCCAATAAAAAAGGTCCAAAATTATAAAAATAAAATATCCAAAATTATGAAAAATACTGCAATAATATTTGGCATGAAAAATTATTAGATTTAAAGGGTTAGTTTACTACATCACCTAACAGAAAGTCCGTGGAAATAATAAATTCCATTTATTACTCGTTAGGCTTAACAACAGATTACAGAAATTATAAGCAATGTCAGTTTAGCAGTTGCCTCAGTACGCTTCGGAATTAAGATGGCACTCATTTCACGGCCAAAATCTATAAATTTCTTCGGCATTTATTGAAATAATATGATGTTATTACGAGGAAACCTCAAAGTATGCATGAAGGCAGTACAGTGGCAGTATTGACTGACGCGCAGTGGAGGTCGATGCGACGGCGTACTGTCTGAGTGTATACTTTTAGGTATCTTCGTAATAACCTTATTATTATACATCTTTTCCTTCCAAGGATACATGGGAATGCCGAAATCCAAAAAATTTAATCAGCGAACTTCTTTGTGTGGAGTCCGGTCAAACCCTGGTGGCAACCATGTTTGTTTTTATTATTAGAGGATAATACCCGTGTAATCATTCCATATTTGGAATTCACATTTTTTAATATGGTAGGATGAAAATACCCCGTAAAATACCGCAAAATTATGGCACGCTGTAACTTATGGCGTTACGGTGACAGATGTATAATAATAGTATATACAATATCAAAGAACACCAAGGCAATTGTATTTGATGCCTCTGTCAAGTTCAAGTCCTGGAGTTGCATCCTTTTATTTTATAAATCCTTGTTTACTTGTTAGTTTATGCATATTAATTACTTTCATATCTACCTTATATTGTTATGTTATTAGGGTTACGAAACAGCGACCGTGGCTGACACGTCTGATGATCTTTGGTTCCTAGAAGAGGATGCACGTTTCTCGGTTGAATATGAAGTAGAATCTAACGAGAGTGAAGGATATGGATTTGGAGCGACGTCTACGGAATCAGAATCTATTGACTCATCTGCTGATGTATGTAACAAGCAATATGATTGGCCGTCAAGCAGCATACTCGTATCGAACTTACACACCTTGTATATTTTATGTAACACCTATATCAAACTGCATGGGTTATATACGAAACACAGACCCCATAATGAACTACAGACATTGTATATAACACATAGGGCCGTATTGAAAGTGATATGGCCTCCTTAACTAAGTCTAATGTGTTTATGTTCAAAACGAGTGACAGTGACCAAAATTAATCGCTGCATTTTTAGTCTGTTAGTGGCTGATTGCTAATACACTTTTACATGTTCTGTTTTTTCTAGGAAGTTTATGAATTTGAGCTTTGTGATGACAGCGAGTCATGTTTTGCCGATGATGACAGCAGTGATTCTGATTCTGATTTCACAGATAAGGTGAGTTGACCGCTGACATTCTCAGCTGTTGTCATAGCAATAGAAAATCAATGTACTAGTTTTTGGATCAAAATTGTGAGATATGAAAAAATAATTTCTCCCTAGAAACCAGTGTGAAAATAAAAATATTGACAATTTTTGGTGTCTTGATAGCATTAATCATTAATAATAAAACTGAAGAAAATGTATTACATTTTTACTGTAAAATCTGTATTAAGAGGCATGGCTTTTATTAAAATGTTACAATGCAACAGAGGAGATGTGGCTTCTATTAGAAAATCTCCATGTATGGGAAATGGTGAATTTTTGGTTCTCAATTATTCAAAAACAATTGGTGCGACTTATATTATGGAAGTGGCTTCTAATACAGATTTTACGGTAATCGACAGTTTCCATTTATTTTAATGGACCTCTTCAGGGTCAAGGTATCAATATTTCAATTATGTAATTGCTGTTTCAGGACAAGTGGATGTGTACAAAGTGTGATGTTGCTAATTCTCCACTCGTTCGTTACTGCGTAAAGTGCTGCTCACTTAGGGAAGGCTGGTTGCCAGACTTGGTGCATAAATCTCAATTGAAGCTAGCGAGAGGTCCAAGACAGTTGAAAAGATCCATATCAGAACCAGGTAAGCATGTCAGTACATGCAATGTAGTGCATTATGGGAAAACTTGTAGTTACAACAGCCGGGGGCCATTTGTTCGGCCGTCACATCTCCGTTATACCTATACACATTGTATTACATTCTATGTATATATATTTTTCAAATACCCCACGAAAGTGTTCTTAGAAGTTGACTTAATATTACCCCAACGGCTCGTTTGGCTTTGAAAGATTGGTATTTTTTTCCAGATTTGTAGGAATCTGAAAAACATGTTTCACAACTTGTCTATTTATTTAGTTTCATGCCATATTCAAGATGGCAGCCCTCATATAATAAATATTGCACTTATGCGCCAGCTGACTGTGGTTTAATTGATGAGATCCTCCAGCACTGTTCAAATTGCAATGTGTGAAAAATTCAGAGCACGATATGAACATTTTAATATTTCTCATTTTTTAGCAAAAGCAATTTTTACACATTTCATATTAATAGCAGGCCATCATCCTATAACAGGCCAAAACAAAATAAAAAAGGCTCTTGGCAGTGCAAAGCCCTGCAGCGAAACTGGTGTTGGTGGTTAGGTGGGGGAGGGGGGTGTAGACCAGAAAGTAGACGACCGATTTGGGCTTGTAGCAGGCCATATGGCCGGCGGCCAGCTCTTAACAAAACCCCTGGATGTTTCACATTCATGAAGTGTCTCTGTTTTTTGTAGCACATCTCCATGAAATAACTTTAGCAAACCATTTATTTATGTACTTACAAGTTATTCACATGGTTGTTTCAGTTGGTGTGGTTGCCAGTTTAACATCATCGCTACGAGACGTGGCTGTTACGGGCACTGATGCAACCGACATAGGTGAGTAGTATGTCTTACACTATCACATGCACATATAAAGTTATTCAATGTTAAACCAAAAATACAGCTTTTAAACCTTGTCTCTGTGTCATTGATTCTGTGAAGACAAAAAAACTGTTTTCACCAAGTCCCAGTTCTGAAAATGAACAAAAATAATCGTGAGTCGTTTTTGCCTTTAAACGCATAGATAAGGCTCTTAAGTCACTCATATCTTCCCAGTTGAACAAAAAAAATACAATATATAATATATATTTGAAAGTGGCTGAAAAGCTCCCCTGAAAACACTGAAGCGAATTATGTGAGTGATTTCATGATTTTAATACAGTGTGTATGTGTAAAATAAAAAAATTATAGTCCCATATTGTGTGTATGTGTATAGGTTTGTTGAAACAAACTTAGAAATAAAAAAAAAAATATCTGGTGGGTTTCTTAGAGAGCAGTGTACTATGACTTAAAATGTGTTTGATTGTTTGTGTATCTTTTCTCATAGGATTTCCTGTTGCATCTGGTGCAGAGCGTGAAGTTACAAAAAGTGGTGAAGATTTATTAGATAGCTCACCGAAACGAGATGATGATCCGTACGAGATACAGAACCAAAATGCTGTACGTGACCGTGAAATTCGTCTTGCAGAGGACGACGCTGGTGCATGGCCGGCTTTCCATGTACCTCCCCGTCGTAGAAGAGTGGCACCTTTGATTCCTGATGGGAAAGATGTCCCAGATACTGATCCCAAAGATGTTGCCGGGAAACCTCAGATATACGCCGCTTATGGCCACGATGTACCTGATACGGATCCATCTGATGTTGCTGGTCCATCTGGAGTAGCCTCGGGGTCGGCAGCCATCGTTCAGAATGCTGGTAGTCACCATGTGGTCAAGCGTCCAATTTCAGATCAGGACTCTCCAGAACGACTGCCATTGAAAAAGAGAAAAAGCAGCCGTGATAGCATTTCTCCTGAGAAAAATACGGCATCTTTTCTTCCTTGTGATGCGTTTACTGAAAAAGATGCGAGAGATTTGTCACTGTTGACTGTCGAATGTCCTCCATATCCTGTGAATCTTTCACCGTTAAGTCAAAGTCAGAAACCTGGGAGGGATGAAACCGATCATGGAAACGGAGATTCCGTTGAGGAGAAAAAGGAGGAGGAAAATGCCAAGCATGATGAGTGCGTTCCATCCTCGTCCCTACAAAGACAGTCCTCCCATGATACCCTCTTAGCAGATTCACCAGACGAGAAGTTATCCCAGCATGCATTTGGAAAAGATGATGTGACGAAAAAAATGGGCATGAAAGGTCGAGATGATTCTGGTGTAAGCATAGCATCGACATCAACAGCCACCACATCATCAGTAACATCAGGATTACCCTCGATGACTGCTGCTAGTTCATCGTCTGCGGAAGCGAGAGCATTCAACGATTTGTGTATGATATGCTCATCCAAGCCAAAGACTGCGAGTATTATCCATGGTCGCACTGGCCACCAAGTTTGTTGCTATTCGTGTGCTAAGAAACTACGTCGCCATGGCAAACCATGTCCAGTTTGTCGACGCCCGATTCAAATGGTAGTCAAGAATTTTCTTCTGTGATGATATGAACAATATTTATTTATTTATTCTGAGTATTTTAATTTCAGTATTTAATTGTGGCCTAATGGATATACGGTAGTTGCCGAAGATGCTTGACTGCGTGTCTGAAAGATAACACTATAATGATAATATAAAGATATTTTTTTTTTTTAAATGAAATTCAGAGTAAAAGAAAAAAATGTCTGGATTGTTAGTTTGGTTTGTAGTGTTATTACCCGAGAATTGTCTTGGCTAAAAAAAATTAAAAGCACTACAAATTAAAGTGGCAACAGCTGTAACTTTTTTTCCATTTGTAGTGTCGATTTGTAATCGCCATCGCCAAAATGTGGACACTGAAAGCATAGCATGTACGCTGTACATTGAATTTGTGTATTAAATCACTTGCACTTGGAAAAAGATGGCTGCTGTGTTGCATCCAGGCCTCCAGAGGGCACCATCTGATGTAATCAAGTTTTGACAAGTGTACCTCAATGAAATGGCGACTACTCAACTCTTAGTTTCCACATCGCATTTCATATGATATTAGTCTTTGGTAGGGTCACTTTGCCGATGAGATTGTGTCGAAAACAATATTTCGGTAAGATTTGATCATCTATATTTAAACAAAAAAAAAGTTCAAAATCACAGCTATTGTCACTTTCATCATTTCTTTCTGAGCAGAAATATTTTTTATTTTACAAAACGCTGTTTGGGAAATGTGACATGCAATTTGAAAAGGAGTTTGTTGTCAGATTTGTTAAAGGTTGTGCTCTACCTCGCTTTTTCACTTGTGTAAGCAACAATCTGATTGGGTAGAGTCTCCAGTCATTTTAATTCTGACCAATCATCGCTGTATGTCTCTAACCAGGTACCTAGATTAAGCGTGGTGGTTGCCACGCAGCGCATCTTCAAATTTCATGTAAATAAACAATGTATTTTACACGCGTTGTATATGTCGCTACGAGTCCCATATCAAACAGGTCGCGGCACAACGACTGCCGCCCTTTAATATAAATCACTTTGCAGCAACAGAAACTAATCAGAACTTGAGTCACATGTCATTCTTTAGAAAGGCAAGCTTTAATTGGTTGACATGAATTGCATCGGCAGTTCAGGCATAGTAAATTGAATTCAAAAGCGACTGGCGCCCTCTACCTACATTTGCTTTTTCATTAGAAATGAAGAGTAGTATATAACCATGAAGGCAATTATTACCTCCATGATATAACTGATACAAATGGAACTTTCAAGGAACTAGACTCTTGTGGGAATGAAATGTGCAAACAGATGTCTTTTTTTTTTCGTTTTGTTTTTTAGGAAAAATACAGTGGTTTTAAATGTTGTGTTTTGATTCCCATACGTGAAGCAAGTATATTGTAAGCCCATTCTAGATAAAATTATGCAAATCAATAATGTTACAATGTTACAACAGCTTGATACATGAAAATGTTATAATGTTACTACACTGCTTGCAATGTATTTAAACTATCAATCAAAACACTATTTAAACCACAGTAGAACTCTTTTAAAGGGGCACTTCCAGTTAAGCCTAATCTCACAACAAATTTACTTTCTGGATTAAAATTACAATGGATAACAAAAGATAGATTAACTTTGTAAAGGACATACATTTGTAAACAAAAGTGTCCCATGATTCTTTGGTGCAATCCATGGGATTGAGCGGTTCCCCTTTAAGCAATAAATACAATTTGGTTTGTCATGTTTCGACAATGTTCATATTATGTACACAGACAGAGAACAAATGTTTTTTACATAATTATATATATAATTTTTATGTTTTACTGCAAATCAATAATGGCTTGATTACTGGTGGATTACCATATTTTTATTGTTATATTTTTTATGGGGGAAAACAAACTATTGTTGTAGTCAAAAAGAAGAAATATTATTAAACTCGCTGGGAAGATTGAAATGATTAACTTGCAATAATGGTCATTCAGATTTTCCCAAGAACTCGCATGTGGTATATTGCAGGACTCTTTAATTTTCAAAACCGTTAATAAGACTTTCGGTTTCTGGTTACTTGCATATGTGCGAAAAGGGAAAAGGGAGTTATCAACATTGATTCACTACCTGTCGGCAGGTGTGTGAATTTTTAGGCAGCTATTTTATTATCAAAACTCGTACTGACTAAGTTTACTAACTGTTTATATGGGAAACATGTGTTTTTTTTATTTATACGCACACACAATGAGGCATAAGAGTATAATTTATACCATATTAGTAGCTGTGTATACATCTCTGAGGAACAATTCTAAATAAAACTACTGTATTTTCTCTTTTAGAAATGAATCTTCATGTAAATGAATAATGGCTGTCCCCGGGGGTGGGGGTGGGTGTATTCCGGTTTATTAAAATCTACTTATTATGACCACATGCAAATCTTTCATCAATATAAACATATTTGCCACTAAGAGAGTGAAAACAACATCCATACATATTCACTGGCCAAAATTTAAAAAATCCCCCCCCCCAACGACTCATTATAAAAAGATCCCCTCTTGTTGTCGCACTTAGTAACGGAGCAACCTGTGAACGTGAAACTCAACAACAATACGTTAGTGTAGTATGTGATACCAGTTTTATCAACTATTTTGTTTTCAAAAATGTCTTTGAATTTCATATTTGCAATTTTTATTTTAATGAAAATTTTGTATATACATGAACAAAGTATTGTACTGATCTCTTATTTTTAAAAGTTGAAATTGTGAATTTAATAATAAATATCATTTTGTGGATTTTATCATTTGAGTGTTATTTGTTGTTCTTACATCGGTCTTAATCAGGTGACCCATTATCCTGATCATGTGATTATTTCTCCAACTCCACATTTGGTTTTTTATCTCATTTATGTAGATTACCGGTAGTAATTTTGAAAATTGTCTGTTTTTTTCATCTCATCGTTGGCTCTGATGTAACATTTTTTTCTTGAGTTACAGTAAATCAAACAATTTGAATATGCACATTACCCCTATTAAACATATACTGTAGATGTATTAATTATTCACTGGGTTTTAACTTCGCTATTATTGCTGATAAGTAAAATCCGCTAAAATAAATCTACGTGTACATGTAGAATAACGATAAAACTTGCTGCTTCCTAGACAAATTCGTGAAATTAAAACACAGTGAATATGATCAAAATAGTGAAATTAAGTGTCAGTGAAAATAAATGGTTTTAAAATACCACAGATTAGTAATTACAAAACTGACTGCTATTTTGAGGTTATACTCGTAGGAGTTTAAAGTGTGATGGTTTATATGTCACATCCTATCTCATGTCCATAATGATGTACATAACATGTATAAAATGCATTGTTTATGCAAAATTACCTTTAAGCTTATGCAGTAGATGAATTTCCCCTTGCTGCGAGATTTTGTGTAATACAGGAAAGATGTGCATCGAACATCTGCTGCAAAAATCAAAAAATATATTTTGAACTTTAATTTCTCTTCAGTATTCCATGCTAATTTATCAGAGAGGAGTATGGCGTTGACATATCTTCACCATATTAAAATTGTCATCTAATTTGTATGGCACATTATTTGAATCCCCTTGATGTTTTGAAGACAATTGTTTGTCCTGTTTTCATGTTCAATTTCACGCTAGATCTCCCCCTTCATCTTTATAAATATTTATAAATTTTAATAACAGTTAAAACAAACAAGCCAATAAAAATATTGTGCGCAACAAGATCATTTAAAAAATGTTGGCGTTATTTCAATCATCCAATAGAAACCAATCATTTCAGTTTGAATAAACAAAAATCAGATTTATTTTATTTATTGACACAACAATGACTTTGAAAAGTACAGAAGTAGGGTCACTTAAAACTACAAGACAATAAAAACAATGATTAACAGTGAAAGATAAAAAGTACACAAATAACAGGATTGCATTTACAAGGATTCACTGGCAACATATGAAAATACATTATACTGTATCAGAGGTACATTACTTGGGGTTTGCAACTCGCAATAGTACTGTATGGTGACATCATGTCAAGATCCCATTCAAGTCTCTTCTCGTAGATAGCGAGACTGAGGCTACGACCTTCTGACATGACGCATATCAATGTTCAAGGTTTGTAATGAAAAAAATTAACTTTTCTTGTCACTATCATAGTGAAAAATGTAATACATCGAAAATGTACAGAAAATATAGTTCTCGTAATCCGTCATATCGTGGGCAGCTATTTTGATCCACCTGGACATCCCAGTATCCTAGTTACCTCGGGCATGCGCATTCGCATTTTTTCTGAGTTGGAACGCTTATGCGAGAGCGAGATTGTGACGGGATCTTGGTATCATGTCACCGTAGTTACAAACCCCAAGTAATGTACCTCTGACTGTATCTATAATTATATTTCTACTATGAGCTGTTGCTATATAATTTTTGGCACTATTTGAGGTAGAAGTCTACTCATAGTTTTGAAGGATGTTGGTCATAAATTCCATGACAATGTTCATTAGTTTATTATATAAAATCACGGAGCTATTGTCCCATGGCACAATAATAATAATAATATCAGACAGCACGCTGTCGCATCGGTCGATACTGCCGCTGTACTGTCTTCGTGCATACTTTGAGGTATCTTCGCAATAACCTTATTATTATACATCTTTTCCTACCAAGGATACATCATGGGAATGCCGAAATCTAAAAAGTTTAGAACAGAATCAGCAAACTTCTTTGTATGGAGTCCGGCAAAACCTTGATGGCAGCCATGTTTATTTTTATTATTAAAGGACGCTTACGCGCGTAATCTTTCCATATTTGGAATTCGCATTTCCTAATATGCTAAGATGAAAATACCCCGTAAAATACCGCAAAAATACGGCACACTGTAACTTATAGCGTTACGGTGACAGATGTATAATAATATTTATTAGACACAAGAAAGGATAAAAAGGGTCTTACAAAAGGAAATTTAAAAACTATAATCTTAAAAAAAAACTATTTTAAAAATATAAAACAAATCAAAAACAAATATGAATAAACAATAAAGACAATTTGCAACAAGTTGCCATGAAATAGCATAATTTTGAGAAACACAAATCATTTTTCTCGAAAATTAGGCTGGTTACCCCAACTTTTTATGTTGTCACTATCCTCAAATTGCCTTAGAGTACAATTTATTGCAAAATGAAAATATTCTGGGTATTTGCATTTGTGAGTAGGGTTCAAGTTCGCCCTTAGAGCGTGGTGGTCGACGCGCAGAGAGAGTTCGAATTTAAAGTAAACAAACAATTATTTCACACACGATGTGTGCGTCATATGAGCCCCATATCGAACAGGACACGGCGTGACTATCACCACCCTTTAATAAATAATAAATTTTCCTAAAATAATGAAGCATGACCTTGCCCTCTCTAATTTTTTTGAAAAATACATTATTCAATGGAAATACTTAATTATATAAATATGCATCTAATCCCAATCTGATTAAAATAAGATCCTAGTTTGGGCTTTTTTTTCCCGTTTTTTTGTTAATATATATTTTCATATATTTTATTTATTTATTTATTTTCAATTTATTTGCTGGTATTGTTTTAAGTTGAAAAAAATACCAGCAAATAAATTGAAATAAATAATAATAAAATATATGAAAAAAATATGAATGATATTTATTAACAAACAAAAAAGGAAAAAAACAAACAAACTAGGATCTTATTTCTTTAATCAGATTGATCTAATCCATGAGAGAACCAATGTTTTTCTATGCAATGTCAGTTCTAGTATTTTATACTTTTTTCTATTTTGTCCTACCAATGTTTTACTTTTACCGGTATTTAGTTAGTTTTATATATTTCAGTCTTTTGTTATTTACCAAACCCTCTGATAATTTTGGTTGTTTAATAAAGTTATTAGTTAGCTTAATAAGAAATACAATTACATAGGGAAAAAAAGTCTAGCTCAAAACTACGAAAAAGAAAATAATGCGCAAATTTGTCTACCACCTTCATTTTAAAAATATTCAGTTCAAACCATCTGTTTTATGTTGTTCAAGCTCGAGTAGTTTTTATATGTGCGAATCCGGGCATGAATTCTCAAGGATAGCAAAAAGCGCCGCCACTGGCCATAGTGTCAAATGTTAACCCGGAAGTATAAACAACAGAAAGGGATCGCGTTTTAAAGTTGGCACCGTTTGGTAAGTGTAGTATTTACATCAATCACGATAATGATTGATTTACCTTGCTTATGAGACAGTATTCCCATTACACATCATGCTCTACTAATATAATCCACCATGTCAGAATCGAAATGAATTGAATCACACTCGCCTTTTATCCCAAGTGACTGAGTACACAGGCGAAGGAGTCACGGTGGCTGTTGATGTTTGTCAATTTCACCACGGTTACTAAACAAGTACTGGGTAACCGTGATTTCACAAAAAAGTCTCGCTTGTCACTCTAAAAATAAAGCCCACAACAAGCATAAATATATCAGGAATATCGATTGCCTTGTCCTGGTGACATTAGATTAAATTCATCATTGCATCTATTCACAATATATTCTAATGACATGCATCTTTCATTGAAGGACTGAAGGTCACTAAAATATATTTTACCAAGAATGTTTAAAAAATATTTTGGGGGAGGTAACCTAACTCAAGGGGAACCGACAAATGTTGTTGGTCAAATAAGACCAGGTGATAGTTTTTTAATATCACCTCCTGATTCTGCCATGTTCAGAAAAAAACACTTTAAATTAGAGGGCAGTGATCGTCGGGACATGAAACTCATAGCGATGTATACAACGCTTATCTAAAAATACATTGTTTGCTTACATGAAATTGATCACTCGCTGTGCGACGACCACTGCTCTTTAATTCTGGCAAGCAGTTTTTATTCTAATCTGACCACCTGATTTGTGTTTATTTCAAGAAACAAGATGGCTGGTGATGATTTGAGAAGGAAACCATGGCAACCATTTGAAATTGACAACCACAACTATCTGCTGAAAAGCGCTTTCACTGAAGATAGTTATGAGATATTATGTTATGATATGACCACATTGTGGTATGAAAAGTGTGATATGAAGAATCTAAAAAAAATTACCAAGGTATGTCAACCAGTAAAGTCTTTAAATACACTCAGTTTGTCAGTCTAGGGTAATTCTGGAAAGCGTCTGCTCTTGACGCAAAGACTATGCTTATTAACTACTGTAGAATACTTTATTTTCACTTGGAATTTATTTTCGCTATTTTCGCTGAAGGGATGATTATTTCAGTGAAAATAAGATCCAGCGAATATACTTTTTTTCCTATATTTCACATTAAACTCATCAAAAATCAGTGAAAATAAATTCCATACAAAACGCCCAACAAGCCTTTTCAGCGAAAATTAATTCCAGTGAAAATAAAGTATTCTACAGTATGTCATAAATAATGGGGTGGTCACATGGTATGGCATCTATGCTAATTGATGTAGGGGGATGTCAGCATGGATTGAATGGATATAACCTATTCTCTGTTTCACAGGAAAGATTAATGTTGCAGTTGCTTCTTTAATATTTTTTAATATTGATGTCTTTTAATGACACAAGTGTCAGAAGATACAACATAGTATAAATTGAATATCATAGAGTATCACAGAATTCAAAACAATAGAAGAATGGTGATATCATGTTTGGCAATAATAATTTGTTCTAGCTGAAACTGATTGGTGCTTTTTGATACTAATTGCTACTATTATGTACTAGCTAGTTGATATTAATTGGTACAACCCAATAGTTTAATCTAAATTATACTATTTCATACTAGTTATTACTAGCTGATAATAGTTGGTTCTAGTTCTTATGTAATTGGTACTAAACTAATTTGACACTCAGTATTTTACACTAATTGTTACTAGTTGAAACTGATTGGTACTGTTTGTTACAATTTGGTACTAGTTAGTTGACACTAATTGGTACTAGTTAAAAAACTGAATGGTACTATTTGGTACTAGTTGAAACTGATTAGTACTTGTTACTATTTAATACTAATTGGTACTACCCAGTAGTTGAACCTGATTGGTACCATTTGATACTAATAATGCTATCATATGCTAACTGGTACTAGTTAAACTGATTAGATCTATTTGATACTGATTGGTACTAGTTAAAACTGGTTTGCATGTTTAAGGTAAATTTTGAATACATTTATAAGTGTGTGTGTGAAGGAAACAGATTTATGCTAAAAAAACATTTTATGAAAATGACAGCAACATGAAAAAAAGTTGATCTTTATAAATTATATTGATATTCCTTTCTAGAAATTAAACCCATCAGTTGAAATGCCATTACCAAGGTTACTGACTCACTTGGAGAGTACAATAGAATCACAACAGGATACAGTAAAGTATACTGTCCAGAAAACTGATGATAATAAACTAGTGGTATCCATGGATTCTGATTTAACAAAGGGTGTTCCATTTACATGGCAATTTCAGTGTCAAACAGCTAATGCAATGGTAAGCTTGAAGTTAAGTCTAGACTATTAGCATAACTCTCCCAGAAGAAAGATCTCCATAAATGTAGAAGAATGCAATTTACCGTTTTTCTTAGCTCTGCTGTCATCATGCGTGCAAGCTGTTCTTCTTGAAAACTACAAACCTGATTGTTTTGATATGTTTACGTAGATACCTCAGGTAGACCTCTGTCAGATTTGTTCATTTCATAGCAATATCAATAATTCTCTGTTTCAAACAAATATTTTTGTCATTTTTGGTAAAAAAATTATATTTTTAAAAACTCTCTGACTCTGATAAATGCCTTGGGTGGACCTTTATCAGATTTGTTCCATTCATGATGACATCATCAGTTTATTTTAATCGAATATTCTTTTTCATTTTTTATGTTCATTGTCATAATCTACACCAACTCTGATTGGATGTATGTTTTGCAGGTGCTTCCACTCATATCCATGTATGTATGTGCAAAGCGAAATGCACATTCTCTGACAGAATTAAGCACAACTTAATGGAGAAACGTATTAATGCGGGAGGGTCGTCACTTGCGCACGCACGGGAATTGAGTTCCAAGCGATGATAACATCACATGCTAAAAACACAAAGGCTCATGGGTAGATGCTTGTTTGTAAACAATAACACACTATAGCCATCTGACTCATGCGCAGGTGACAACTCAACTGTTTTAAATTTACATGTTAAAAATATAAAAAAAAAACAGTTTTACTGTAAATGCTTATACAATAAATTACTTCTTCCTAGTTAGCGTCTCACGTCACCATTCCTTTACTCATCATGGTAACAGAGTTACAAAGGAGAACAGAACAACTACAAAGAATAATAAAAACAAAGGATAGCGAGATTGAAGATTATAAACTTGGTGGCGCTAGAGTATCTAGAAGTAAGTCCATGTAACAACTTGTTTTTCATTACAAAACAAACTTTCTAGTCAGCATTTTTTTTTTCTCAAGTTTAATCAATCAATAATCAAAAAAATTTTAGGTTTTTAAAAATATGCAATTTTAATTTCAATTGAAAAGTCTGATTGAATTACTGGAAATTAATTATGCGATTGAATTCTTTGAATAATTATGAAAGAGTTTGCATTTTAATATATGAATCTTGATATGCGTTTTCAGAACATTTAGAAACAGTTCCGTTTGATGCCAAGACATTTTTCAAAGACATGACTAAATGCAA